TGCAACTCAATTTATTAGATCCGCGTATTGCGTAATAAGACGATCAGCAGTCATGAGATTTGGGATCTTCATTTTTAACATTTGACACAATTTCTAGATTGTTGTCTTAGCAATTTTTTTAGTATCCGAAAATAAGCACTCCTATAGCAAAAAAGAGGTGCTTATTTTCGGAGGAATACGGTATTTCCTTTTAAAGGCTTTTTTTTAAAAAAAAACTTTAAAACTGTCCTATAAAGTTGCGACTAGAAATATATGATTTTACGACTAGGCAATCATAAATTTTATTGGTTGTCAATTTATTGGTATCAACTCATACAAATTTGGCATATAGACGAATATACTATTGTTTTTTGTTTTTTATGTATCCAATAATATCATGAATCTACTATAACTCTCACTTTTACTTTAGCAACAAGTTCCATTATAAATGTATTTGCTGATAAGGTTTGAGCATTTGGTAAAGAATAATAAAGTGAAGTCTTTTGTTGTATATAATTACGTATTACTAAATCTGTAAGCATATAACTAGCCAACTCCTTTGGTTTTCCAAATTTTGGTTTTCAACCACTTTTATATACTTCAAGTTCAGCTAAACCTGATTTCCGATTTTTTTTAGTATTTGATTTACAAAAAACTTCTACTACATCATCTTCAATAATTTTAAAATTAATACTAATCATTTCTTCAATAATTTCCAATAGATGACAAATATCATCTATACAGTTTTCATAAGTTGGTTTTTCCCTTATTCAATTTTTACAATTATCATATTTCAAACAAGAAGGAGGAATACTATCATCATTCCAAAGATAATAATGACTAATTATTTGATTTCGACAGTCATATTGATTTTGACAAAATAAAAGAACTTTATGAATTTTATGTAAACCAGTATCAAGGTAATTTTTTTGTTTATGTTCTTGGTCAGTCATATTTGAGTATTAAATGGCCTATTATATGTAATTAATATTAAAATATTATTTATTCTTAATTAAAATATTGAATTAATATGTAACTAGATAAAACTAAAAAGCTTACGTTTTACGATTCTCAGCCAAAATTCCAAAATTGGTTCTTAAATCTTTTTTCATTGAATAAAATATCACACTTTTAGCTTCATTACCATCATGACCCGCTCGTCCAATTTGTTGTACCAAATTTGTTATATGTAAAAAATGAAAAATTAAAAAATAAACATATATGTAAGAATAATTAATTGTAAGATTACTTACTCATATTTAGAGGTGTTACATAATATACTATTAAAGAAATATTAGAAGAATTAATGCTCATTCCAAATGCATTTATTCTGATTATTATTTGAATTTTTCCATTTTTCCAATGTGACATTATACTTTCATGTCATTCATCATCTAACTATCCATGATATATGCTTAAATTATTATCTGAAAAAAGAGGTTGTAACATTGCAAAAAGATTATTACATCCTAATTATATTACACAATAAATAATAACTTTTTCTTTTTTGTATTTTTTAATTAGATTCTTAATATTATTTAAAAAGTGTTGACGATTATCTTTTCTTTTGTACACCTCTATAACAATTTCTTTACATTCAAAAAATGAGCCTTGAATTATAGAAAAATTCTCTAATGAAATTTCAAGAGATATGTAAATATCTTGAGTAGAGCTTTTAATGAGTCGAGTTGACTCACGAGTCAAATGAGTTGACTCGAGTTTGAGTAGAGTAGAATCAAAAATTTTCTGACTCATTTGACTCAAGTCAAGTCATTAGTTGAGTCGAGTCAATAAATTGACTTGACTCATTTCAACTCGAGTTGACTCACGTTAGGGATGTTAAACGATCCCAAATGACTGTAAATAAATATTGAAATTACGAATTATAGAAAAGTCTAATCACTTATCTATAATAAGTAACCCTTGATAAATAATTATAATAATAAATTTTATGAATAACTTATATAAGAAATATGAACTTTGGAATCGACAATTAACATGGGACTGCCAAAGTAGGACCCGGTCTTTAGGACTGGGTCCTAAGTTTCAAAAATTAAGATTCTGGGTTCCCGCATAAGTTTAATATATATTTTTAATTTATATTCAATTAACAAATTATCATTAAAAACTAAAATATAATGCCTGTAAAATAAAAATCTTCTCTAGAACTGGCAAATTTATTGGGACTTTTAGGACTGTTTAGGTCTGTTTAACATCCCTAACTCACGTGAATTAATGTTACATAACTTACTATTTTGGGAATTTGTGTAACTCATTTTGGTGATTTTTCAATTTTTCGATAGCTAAAAATTTCCTTTTTAGGAATTTGTATAATCATATATATATTTGTAATCTTGTGTAATTCAATTTGATACATTGAAAATACAGTTGACCCTCTTTACTGTCACACCTCTCAGGATCAAAAATAAAAAGTGTGACTATAATGAAAAGTGACTATATAGAAGGATTTTTTTATAGTATTACTAAGTATTGGTTCCAAAATAATGTGACTATAATAACATTGTGATTATAGAAGGGTTTTTTATATAGTGTTAATAGAAACTGGTTTTTATGAAAGGTATGTTTATAATAGAGGATTTATATGATGTGATTGTATAGGGGGTGACTGTAGAGGGGGTCAACTGTATACCGGTTACAAAGCTTTAATTGAATATTTTAACACGTTTTCTTGAATATCTCAGCATTCAGTGATCTGTTAGAAATGTAACATATATAGTTTTGATGAGCGCATCTCGGTGAACACGATGATGCAGATTTCATAAAATTTTGAATAGTAGATCATTAGATAATAGCCTCTGAAACATCAATATAATTTTATTATTTTATAATCAGCAAATATATTTTGGGAGTTTTATTTGACTCGAGTTGAGTTAAGTCAAATTTAAGTATAACTCAAGTCGAGTCAAGTTAAAGTTTTAAAATTTTTTGACTCAATTCGACTTGACTCAAATTTTTTGAGTTGAGTCGAGTTATCTTTAAAACTCAACTCAACTTAACTCATTAGGAGCTCTAATCTTGAGTATTTGCATAAGTGCATGTAGCAGTTAAAAGCATAATGAATGCTATAGGCCAATTGTTTTTTAAAATTCCTAACTTTTTCCATGATTCTCTAAAAAAAAAAAAAAAATATTAAAATTAAATTAGATTATCATGTTGCGAATATAATTAACTTATCTTTTGTAAACTGCTTTACCTAAAATTACTATAATCTAAAATACAATGAGCCTCATCAATCACAAAATGCACTTTTGATTTGTTATATATGTTACTAATAAAAGATTGAAATTCTTTATTCAGACAAAGTTTTTCAGCTGTAACAAAAATCACTTTTATAAATCCAAGAGCAATTTCTTCAAAAATTTTGCATTACTCATTTCTGTCTTGCGCTGTATTTGTATAAATTGAAGCACAAGATATACCAAGATTTATCAGCTCTCACTATTAGTTAAAAATAAAATATTAGAAATAGCTTTAAAATTCAATTATTAAAATAATATTTACTTTTTGGTCTTCCATTAAAGCTTTTAATGGGCTAATAACTATTGTTATCCCTTTAAAAAGTAATGCACAAACTACATAACAAAATGTTTTTCCTCCTCCTGTTTTGATTAATACTAATATATCTTTACCTCTTAAATATGTTTCTACTGCTTCAAGTTGTCCTTCTCGTAGCTGATCAAATCCAAATATTTGTTTTGATGCTAATAATATTGTTTCTTTCAAATCCAGAAAATTTTGTTTGTTAGAAACAATATAACTTTTATTTAACAAGCATTCTTCCTAACTTATTAAAGTATAAAATAAGCATAAAGAGCAAAAACCAGTTGCAGTTTTCTTAAGAAATGTGGAACAACTTTGATACTTAATAATTGCATCAAAATCTGAAATTAATTTTGCAAAGGAAGGATAAAATGCATTGGTTTGTATCCTTTCTTCTACTTTGCATTTATATGAAATTAATTCCTATACAAAAATATGCAAAATATTGAGTAAAAAAGTTAATTATAAAAATTCAAATTTAAGACTAACCTGATTAAAATCAAAACATTGCAATTCTTGACATTGATTAGCATAATTTACGGCATGTTCTTGATTATGCTTAACTATAATATTTTGGTTACAATGCAATTTTTTTTGACATTTTCCTGCGAATTTAGCTATATTATACTGATCATGTAAGCTGAAATCATGTGACAGCAAGGCTTTACGCATAGTTTCCATCATACAATAGAGACCTTCATTATTATCTATAATAGCTAATGCATGACATGCTTTATAGAATGCCCAAAAATCAATTCTTTTATCAAGAAATCGCAAGATCTTTTTGTTAAAGGCTTTATTATAAGCTGTTCTGTATTGAGTAACTAGACTTTGTTGTATTGGAATTTTAATAATTGTTAGAAGCATTTGTCAGAATCCTTCAATTTTTACCTATGTAAAAGATTGTAATGTAGGAGATTACAATTGTAACTCTTCATTTTCTTTATATCAACAAACTTCTTTCCAACAGGTATCATGATTGTTAAGCAGATATTGAATTAAACCTTCAACTTGAATATGATGAAGCTTTTCATTTGTGGGTGTATCTAGATCATTATTCTTTTTTTTAAAACTAGCAACAAAGACACACCTATTAAAATATCTTATTATATGCTGTTCAAAACTGTGATAACGTGCATATTGCCTTTTTACTATTACAAAATGAATAAAAAAAATATGTAAAATAATAATAATTATTAATATAATAATAATTATATAATACAATACATAAGTTTTTCGGATATTCTTGCTCACATGCTTAAAATCTGCATAAATTTCTGTTACAACAGAAACATTGGTCAAGGTTTTGTTAGAGTCTAAATCTCCATCAATACAAACTTCAAGTAAAAGATCAGATACTTCTAATATTGGAGTAATATGTTCTAAGAGCGCAATCAATATCACATCTTTCATTTGATGAGAACTAGCATCAAAATTATCCTATTGTACTATACTTTTTCTTTAGACCAATCTTTTCCTTTTTTAGTAACGATATGGGACCTTTCAACTACATGAAAGGCAATAACTGCTTTATGCTCATAACCTAATATATAAAAAAAATAGAATTAGGTACATTAATATAAATATAATATAATCAAATTTTTCTATTATAGCTTACCTTCAAGATCATCTAAGTAAATAAAATCTCCATTAGCTTATTCTGCATTGCGAGAATATGACCATGAACAATCAAATCCAACAGATAGAAATTTTTTTTCTAAACTATTAACATGAGCTATAGTGGCATTAATTCTTGTTTAGAAGATTCATTTGCTCTTGATATAATGGTAGGAAACTTTTGAGATTGGTATTGATGGTATGATTGTTTGCAAATTTATGTAGTACACTTGTTACTGCTAATGCAGTTTATATAGCATGACGATTAAGATCGCCAGCTAAAGTTGCGGCTACAATAAAATGCGAAAAGTTAACTCTTTCAGATTGATTAGAAAATGAATCAATTGTTCTATACATTTGACAATCTACATCAATAGTAATTTTAAAGCCAGCACAAGAAGTATGATAGGTTTTATTCTGAATATTGATATTATGACAATGACTACAAGGATTCGAAAATATCAGAGAAAGGTATTGTTCTGTACTAATAAAAATTACAGATCCTATTTTTTTTTATTTAAAATATTATTTACTGATGTTCTTATTTCTTCAGAATTTTGTTTTAAATTAATTTCACCAAATAAATTTGATCCACTCTCTTAAAGTTATGTAATTTTTGTCTTTAACTGTTTAACATTATGATTAGCATTATATAATGCTAATTTATTTTCTTTATGCGCTATCATAAGAGCTTGAACAGATTTTGGAACAATATTTTTTCCACATTCCTCCAATCTTATTTCACAAATAATAGAGCCTGTTTCATTATCAATTTTTTCAAGTTCTTCGCTTTTTTTTTAAGACTGTTAATTAAAATTCTTTCTTTTTTATTTTGATAGGAAAAACGATTGGAAAAAACTTCATGAACCGCTTTTTGTAAAATTTCTATAATATTAGATTCATTGAGTCCTAATACTGAAGCGAGTGAAAAGTTTTTTACATTATATTGCTTTAGCATTAAATAAAAACCCAATTTTTTTGATCCTGAGCGTTACAATTAGTAAACATAAAATCCTTGCCAAAGTCTTGCCAAAAAAAATTAAAGAAATTTCCAACTAAAGAGGTGTATACAACATAGCCTGGCAATAATGGAACCCACAAACTTTCATCAAGAGCTTTGTTTTGTAAATGCATATAACTAACATCCTTATTTTGTTGTAGGATTTTTTCAAGGTTATAATGGTAGTTTTTTAGTAATAAAAACTCTGACAAATTTTTATGAAAAGGTAATACTTCAAATTTGAAAGACACTTTAATAACAAACCAGCTCTTATTTACTCTTTAATAACTTTTGTAATTGGAAGAGTCTCTTTGAACGATAAGATTATACCAGTTACATGTCATAATATTATAGGCTTGCTTTTGTCAGTCAGTACAATATAAACTTATTTTAAACCAGTTTTTTGTGATGCGATAATTAAGTTTTTTTTTTTTTTTTTTTTTTTTTTTTTAACGATGTGGCACTGCCAGTAACTTTATTATATTTATAAAAGAGATACAAAAAGTAAAACTAAATACAAAGAAAAAAG